CGTGACACCGCTTCATCGAAATATCTAGTAATTTTATATAAATGAAAATGGAGGGGGGGAGGGGGGTTATAAATGTAGAAAATGACATTGCTTATCATTATATGAATTTATTCATTTATTCACTTCTTCAAATGTTGATACCTCTTACAAAAAATCCTGCGTACGCCATGAATTGATGACATGGGTTCCTTGTCAGGTGTATAGCTCCAAACTTCGAGAGCTTTTGGCATTTTGCATTCACGTAGTCAAAAATAGCAAAGAATGGTCACGAGGTTTGTTCAATTTTCCTGTTTGTCTGCTTCTCAATGATTTTTTAGAGCCAATTAAAGTGGCTTCCTCCTCCTCCTCCCGCTTCCGAACCTTCATTTTTTTTTTTTGGGTTGAACAGCTATGGAGAGCTTTGAAGTCGGGGAAATACCATGTCGCATTGTTTAGAGGGAATCAAGCATTTAGGTGCTTCCTTGTTGCACTGTTGTGATAGGCAATCAACGGGCCTTGAAGATCCCGAGATTCTTGCACGAGAGACAGTTTGTATGCTATCTGGACACACCTATCTATATAGATTTATCCGCTATTTGTAGAATGTAAAATGAAATCATGGAGGGTGAAAGCAAATGCGATGTTTATCTGGTTCTAGGTTTGTCTTATTTAATGATTGCCTCATCCAGGAAATATGATTTTGATTTTGAAGATCATTACAATTATAACTTTCTCTATTTTCACAATTTATTATGTTCCGTTCTCTTTTAATGCTTGTCAATGCCAATGTTGTCAAAGGCGGGGAAAAAAACACAGAAAAGCAGCTAGTGCAAAGTGTAATTTAAGTGTGTGCTTCAATGAAGAAAGGATTAAAAGAATGGAAATTAATGAAATATATAAAACTATATGAATCAAATTATTTTAAATATTTGATTCATTTGCAAATTTATAACTAGTTTTCTGTTTATAGTTCAAATTAGTAACTAGTCTTTCATTTTATTATTCTAGTTTCATATACATTGTCATATTCATCCATAATTTCCTTAATAATATATATGACTTTACCAAATATATTACTTGTTTAGTCCTGCCTTCTTCAAAACTGGGTCCGTAGCTGTTGAAGCGCACACCTTAGCGCCTCAATGCATGCCCTAAAGTGCTACTAACAAGGGAAGCAATCCACTTACATTGCACCTACCTTCAATTTTAAGTGTGCCTCAATGACACTGGTCAATACGTAAAAGATTTAGAATATAGATTTCTGAAATATACGTTCTTACCATATGTGTATGAGTTTCATGACTTCCTTGCTAGCATAAATGCCGTAATTGGACCTGTATAATCTTCCTTCTTGTTGCAGTTAGCGTCAGTGAGATCGAAGCTCTTTATGAGCTTTTTGTGAAGATTAGCAGCGCAGTAATTGATGATGGGCTGATCAACAAGGTTTAGTCTCGCATTTTTTTATAACATTACAACTATTGGAAGCTGGCGCCACTAAGTTTAGTTACTTCTCTAGCATAGATGTTTAATATGCTTGTATCCAGCTTTGCTTTCAATTTGAACTTTTCACTATGTTACAGGAAGAGTTTCAATTGGCGCTATTCAAGACAAGCAAAAAAGAGAGCTTGTTTGCTGATAGGGTTTGTTCTCCGTACATACATTAGCCTTTCATTGTTATCTAGCTTTACCGCGTGATACTTCAAGCTTTTATTGCTTCGTTTCTTCTTACTCCGACACGTTTATTGCAGGTGTTTGACTTGTTTGACACAAAGCACAATGGACTCTTGGGTTTTGAGGAGTTTGCCCGGGCGCTCTCTGTTTTCCATCCAAATGCTCCTATCGACGATAAGATTGGGTGTATGTTACTTGGTTACATGAATAACAACAATTACCTCCAATTTGTGCATATCAGCTTCTAATGATAGATTGCTGTTGTAGTTTCTTTTCAGCTATATGATCTCAAGCAACAAGGCTTCATCGAGAGGCAAGAGGTAAACCTTTCATAATATGAAGCTGTTAATAACAGATGTAAATGTCAGTCTGTTTTAATGTGTTGACTTACTTCTCTTCTTTTTTCCTATGACATAAAAAGATAACCGCATCTGTTATGCAGGTGAAGCAGATGGTGGTTGCTACCCTTGCTGAGACTGGTATGAACCTTTCAGATGAAATTATTGAGAGCATAATCGACAAGGTACTCCAACAACCTACAACTAAATGCTATTTTTGATCATTTTTTCATTTGAAGGAGCGTTTTCTTATTTATATCTGTTTCGTAGTGATATATCCAATACTAATTTCCCTTGATTATTTGGCTTGTTGTCCGTCTCGTTGAAGTTTCGGCCCATCCTGTTTCTATCTTCTCAGAACCACATCATATTCTTAGAGAAAATTTAGTGATTTAAAGCATGAGCAGGAATTAAGGATGGAACCATCTTTAGCTTTTTTCCTCCCATAGACGAGATATCGACAGTGTTTGATACCAATAGTGTCAGTAAGAAGTTGTTGAGAAACCATTCAACTTCTGAGTTGGAGTCTCTTCTTTCAACTCTCCCCTGCGTTATGCCACAAAATGGTATTTCATAGATATTATATATTATTGTATATTAGGAATTTGCTCGTGTATTTGACTAATGTTGAGTAGTTTCTGATTCAATGTTAATTATGTGTTTGCTAAGACCTGGACATTCTCATGTTTGTTATAGTTCATCCTTATCGAAATCCCTTTTTTCTCCTTGGGAAGGGGTGGTTGCCCAGTTGGTTTGGAGGGTGGTCATCCATATAGAAGACCTGGGATCGAATCCCCCTCAATGCCTTCTGGGATTGAGCCTGTCGCACAGGGCTTGCCTAGTGCGGTTTACATCCCCTGTGTGGTTTGCAGGCTATTACACGGGGGGAGGTTTACCCAGTGCGCACAAAGTGCTCACCCGAAGGGCAGAGGTTGTGGCAGAGGTTGTAGCGGCTGCGGGTTTACCCTCTTACCAAAAAAAGAAGGGGGAGGCGCGGTTGGATGGCAGCAACTGCAGGATTTAGCTTTTTACTGCTTAACCAATGTTTGCTTTATTTGGGCAGACTTTTGAAGAAGCTGATACTAAACATGACGGAAAGATTGATAAGGAAGAGTGGAGAAATTTGGTCCTGCGACATCCTTCACTTCTGAAGAATATGACCCTTCAGTATCTTAAGTAAGTAGCACGTGGAATAATATGATTCCATTTAGAATCACGTTTTGCAGATTCTGATTCTGTCGCTAGCACGTTCTTATTGACCCAAATATCATTCACTTAAACAGGGACATTACAACTACATTCCCGAGTTTTGTCTTTCACTCAAGAGTTCCGGATACCTGATATGGAATTGGCAAACGGACTTGCCTATGAAAGTAAGGAAGTAGTTTGTTACTTTAGAGCTGCAGTTCGCGGTGAAAATGTATATCTATTTTGCTCATATACTTTGAGTTCCAACATTTTCATGATTTGTTATTCTTTTTGTGAGTAGTCCTTGTGTACTTTTGTTGCCTCTTAATAACTGCTGAGTAAGGATCCTTGTAATTTACTCATCGTTTATTATTAGCTTGTTATTGTATTTAGATTCGGACTCTTAATCTTAATAAAAATGAATGGGGCCATAACTAGTTGTAACTGCAGCTTGTGTCACATGCTTCTATCTGACCTCCGCAGAGGGATCACTAGAACATTACTCTGCGGTTTTGCCTGTAAGGAAATCTTGGGGCAAGCCTGTTCTACCACAAAATTTCCACTTTGGGTTATTGCAATCTCTGTTTTAAAAGGCGTAATTGGGCGGAGCATTCGTAAAACGCCCTGGGCTTATATGTGGGGCTTAGTTCCGTGAGACTTAAGCCTCGGCTGTCGGGGTTTACACCCCGGACACGCCCAACGCCCATTGTACTGGGCTCGCCTAATAGAAGTCTATGCAATTATGTGTAACTAACCTTGTAAATACTCAAATTATCTTAATAAATTGTTGACTGTTCAAAATTACTTTTTTCTTAATCATATTTATTAAGTTGAGAGTATTTATATCATAATTAAATAAAAATTATTGCACGTTATCTACTAAGATTGCTATGATAGTAAATTTTAAATAAATTTTCATTTAAAAGTATTTATTTATTAACTTTTGTTATGTCTTTATTATATTAGTACATAATTTTTTTTATAATTATTTTCGTAAATATTATTATTTTCACGTTTACGAGATAAAATACTTATTAATTTAATAGCTCAGTATTAGCCGGTAACTATTTACAAATAATAAATTATCATAATAGAGTATGATGAATTATGTGTCACCTTATTAACTTGTTGAAACTTAAAAATAAATAATGCTAGAGAATCAGATTTAAATTGTGAATTATATTTTTATATAAATTCTCCTTCAAATAGAAAGCATATTAAACAAATAAGGCGCTTATTGGTAGGCAACCCAACTCTACTGCTTTTATTTTTGTTTGTTTATTTTTTTATTGTGTTATTTTTGTAGTGTTGTTTTTGTATTTTGTAGAAGTAGGAGCATGGCGTCAAAGCTAAAGCGAGCAGATGGTTGGCACTAAGTGTGGGGTGCCTGACAAAAGATCATACTTGGGAGAAGTCTGATTATCCCGTGAGCGGCTAATGCTTCGGCCTTTGGCCTACCAGGGAGTCTCTTTTACCCTCTTGTTATTTATAGTATNGAACTGGGGATCTTTCCTTGGAAAATCTGGAATAAGCAGTCCCAAGGCTAATGATTCCAGCAACTCTACAAAGAAAGAGTAAACTACCAAATATGAGAATTTATGCTGTTAACCCACTCGGAAATACTTCAAAGAAAAATCAATGATAGTTGACAATCACAACTATGAATGCAGCTCTAACATTATGAAGAAACAACACCGCACGGATTTGTTGCGGTTAAAGATTGACACAAATCAACCGAGCGACTCAAGTTCTCTTATAATAATTGATGATCGCATTGCTACTAAGGACCTTAGTCAGTCCAAAACACAAGCAGCAAAAAGAAAGTTTTAATAAAAGCTAGCACATGGAAGTACTGGTTTTGTTCTAGTTCATATGCAAACTTTTTCCTAATAATATATATGGGAGCAAGTTTTAGACATAGGCAAAAAAAGTTCAATAGCCCACAAAACGAGATCTATTGCATCGGAACTACTATTCTCGTCAAAAACGGCACATAAAGCGTCATAATTTCTAGATAGAGTAAAAGAAAATGGAACTTGTATGGAGACGAGTATCAAAAGAACTGCTACAGACTAAAAACTTAATCAACTTCTTCCATCTTGCTGCCCTCAGCATCAGCTTCAGGATCCTCAAGTGCTGGCATGTCAACATCAGCATCTCCGGAATCCTCGTCAATGCTGAGCCCAAGTTTCAGCATCCTGTGAATTCTGTTACCAAAGGTGTTGGGATCGTCGAGGCTGAAACCTGAGGTGAGAAGAGCAGTCTCAAACAGCAACAGAACCAAATCCTTGACAGACTTATCATTCTTGTCCACATCAGCCCTCTTCCTAAGCTCATCCATGATGGCGTTTTCCGGGTTTATCTCCATGGTCTTCTTGCTAGACATGTATCCAGCCATGCTAGAATCACGAAGTGCTTGCGCCTTCATGATTCTCTCCATGTTTGCAGTCCAGCCATACTCACCAGTAACCAAACAGCAGGGAGAGTCCACAACGCGGTCTGAAACAACGACCTTCTCAACCTTGTCGCCAAGCACATCCTTGATCACCTTGCACAGGCCCTCAAATTTCTCCTTCAATTCTTCCTTCTTTTTCTTCTCATCCTCACTTTCATCGAGCTTGAGACCTTCCTTGGTAGCAGAAACAAGCTTTTTACCTTCAAATTCCTTCAGCTGACCTATACAGTACTCATCAATAGCATCAACCATGTAGAGAACCTCATAGCCCTTCTTCCTCAGTTTCTCGAGGAAGGGTGAGTTCTCAACAGCCTTCTTGCTCTCACCAGTAATGTAGTAAATATCATTCTGACCTTCCTTCATCCTGGTCACATAGTCCTTCAAGCTGGTCATGTCATCACCACTTTTTGTGGAGTGGTATCTCAGCAGTTCAGCAAACTTAGACCTGTTCTGTGAATCCTCATGGATACCAAGCTTGATGTTCTTTGAGAAGGCCTCGTAGAACTTGTCAAAATCTTCCTTGTTTTCAGCTATTTCAAAGAATAGCTCAATGCACTTCTTTACCAAGTTCTTGCGAATAACCTTAAGGATCTTGTTCTGCTGCAACATTTCTCTGGAGATGTTGAGGGGGAGATCCTCAGAATCCACAATACCCTTCACAAAGCTCAAATATTCAGGAATTAACTCCTCACAGTTGTCCATGATGAACACTCTGCGAACATACAGCTTGATATTGTTGGGCTTCTTCTTGGTGTCAAAGAGGTCAAAAGGAGCCCTCTTTGGAACAAAAAGAACGGCCTTGAACTCCAGCTGACCTTCAACAGAGAAGTGCTTCACAGCTAAATGTTCCTCCCAGTCATTAGTCAGGCTCTTGTAGAATGCAGCATACTCTTCCTTTGTGATCTCCTCAGGCTTCCTCATCCATATGGGCTTCTGCTTGTTCACCAAGGACCACTCATTAGAGACTTCCTTGATCTTCTTCTTTTTCTTTTCTTCCTTCTCCTTTTCTTCATCAACCTCCTCTACTTTCCCTTCCTCGTCTTTCTTCTCCTCTTCATCCTCATCATCAGAGATTTCCTTTTCAATTGTCTTCTCAACCCAAAGAGAGATTGGGTAGCTGATGAACTCTGAGTGCTTCTTAATCAGGTCCTTGAGCCTGCGCTCTTCAAGATATTCAAGCTGATCCTCCTTGAGATATAGGGTCATTTTAGTACCCCTACCAAGGTTCTCCCCAGAAGTGTCCCTGGTGACAGTGAATGAACCACCAGCTTGAGACTCCCAGACATACTGTTCGTCATCGTTGTGCTTTGTAGTCACAATAACCTTCTCAGCCACCAAGTAAGCTGAATAGAAACCAACACCAAATTGCCCAATCATGCTAACATCAGCACCAGCTGCAAGAGCTTCCATAAACTCCTTGGTCCCGGACCTTGCAATTGTACCAAGGTTGTTCACCAGATCTGCAATAATACAAACAGGATGAGTTTACAATATAATGCAGTTTAAGCACCAAGTACTTCCACAAATTTCTCTAACTTACCAGCCTTGGTCATACCGATACCACTGTCAATGATAGTCAAGGTATTGTTGGTCTTGTCAGGAATAATGTGGATAAAGAGTTCAGGTTGAGCTTCAAGCTTGCTCTTGTCGGTCAAGCTCTCAAAGCGAATCTTGTCCAAAGCCTTTAATAAATTATCACAACATAATCAAACATTTCATATATATTTGAAATGTAAGTGAATGAATAGTTCATCATATCATACAATATAACATACGCGGACACAACAAAAGTCTTTGACAAGAATAACACTGGTTTCTAAGACACTCTAAGACATGAACAGAATAGATTCACTAGGGGTGCAAGATTAAAGTTTTACTGATTGATATCATTGAACAATATCCCTTTCAGCTCAGTCGATCTGGACCAAGCAAATTCACCTTCTAGGGCTCCAACATTATATCTTTAATATCTGCCTCAAATACTAACAAAGAGTCCACATGATTCATAAACAAAATTTTCCTTCAAGCTGCGGTTAGAGCATTCTCATTAGCAAAACAATAGATCAACATCGTCTTAAATTTGCACATGCCAACATCTGTTTCACAAATAACAGAACAAACAATTCCATGCAATAGTCAAGCCATTAATGTTTGTGATGTAAGCTCAAAAAAAAATCAAACAGGGCACTGACAAACGATCTAGTTTTCAGAGTACAAAAGATGCCTCAAAACCCCAGGTTAATAGCCAATAGCACCTAATCACATCCATTGAGCTGGCGGTGTTGTTTCTCCAAACAACTAACATCAAATCACAAACACGTATAGATCTAAAATATGAGCAGAATTAACTACAAAGAGCTTCCACAATCAAAAAATTAACATTAGATCACACAAAAACTAAAAAATAAAAACCATGCACCTGATATCTGGGCAGAATCAATTATAGAGGCGTTCGTGATCAAACAACTAACACTAAGTCAAAAATAATAATTGCATCTCATATAAGAGCAGAATCAACTATAGGGAGCGTTCACGAACAATTCTCAATGTACAAAAAGACAATGTAACTCCAAATACCAGATAAAAATCAAGCACTTATCAACCTACTCGTTTTAGGGCCAAGGCAATCGTGTGATTTGATCTATAAAAAAATTTAAAAAAAAAAAAACTCAAACCGTCAAAGAGAACTTACATTGTCAAAAGATCTAGTTGTCGGAATAGGAAAAAAAGAAGCTCAAACCATAAATTAAAAAAAAAAACTAAAACACAAATCGAAAAGGCTCAAATCATCAACGAAAAACTGAAATCATAAATAAATAAATAAATAAAAATTAAAATCATCAAACAGAACCTAAACTATCAAACGATCTCGTTATCAGAGTGCGGAAAAAAGCTCAAATCATCAAAAAGAAAAACTAAAATCGTTAATTAAAAATAGTTCAAATCATCAAAGGAAAACTGAAATCATAAATAAATAAATAAAACTCAAATCAACAAACAGAACCCAAACCATGCGATCTAGTTATCAGAGTACGAGAAAAATCTCAAATCATAAAACATACAATCATGCATCTAATATATGAGCAAAATCAAATATACAGAGCTTATCACGTTGAATAGACAATGTAATTACAAATTCAAATAGAAAATCGAAAAGAGATTAGACTTACATCAGAAGAATTGCTAATAAGTTCCCGGAGAAAAATCTCCTTGTTGCTGTAGAACGTGTTGATAATAAGACTCAAAAGCTGGTTAATTTCAGCCTGAAAAGCGAAGGTCTCTGTGTCCGCCATTGCCGATCTAGCGATGCTGCTGCTACGTCAACGATTGTAGAAAATGAGAGAAGAAATTAGGGTTGAGGAAGGCGAGAGCAGAAGAAGCAAAGATGGAGATTTGGTGAGGGAGTAGAGGGTGTTTATATCGAGGCTTGTTTTGGGTTTCTAGAATCTTCCGTTGCCAATTTATATTGACGTTTGTTTTGGGTTTCTGGAATCTTCTGTTGCCAAGTATTTTAAGGTGTGGGCCCGGTGTTTACGTCACCATTGGTGCACATGTATATCGCATTATTTTAAGCGACGTAGTGGTGGATAAATGCATTAAATTTATATGTGTACATATTAATTATTATTATTATTATTTTTAACATATGTCATGTTAAATCAATAACAGACTGTTACTATGAGCAAATGATAATGTTAAAATTAAGAAATTTTTGTTATTAACCATAAATTGTGTTATTTTTTAAACGAATTGAATGAATTAAATTTATATTGAAGAAATGACTAAAAAAAATAATGATGATTATCAAATTTATTAGTCTCTTTGTTTCCTTTTAGATGCCAATGTATAATTAAACGATTTAAAAGTATGACTTTTGACACATAAATATATTTTATATATAGTATATTATAAATATTTTTAAAATTTATGGTCTTAATTAAACTGCATGCTTGGGCAAGCATCTAAAAGGTCAAAAATAATATGATTTTTCAAAAGAAAAAAACACTTATTTCAGAAAATGAAAGGTGTTTGACCAAGTTTTTAAATAATAACAAAAGCATTTTTTTTAGTTTTCCTGCAAAACTAAGAAAACAATTTCTCAAAGAATTAAGTGTGTTTGATTTTTCTAGAACAATAATAGCAACAACTCAATAGAATCCCACGTGTGGGGTATGGGGAGGGTAGAGTGTACGCAGACCTTACCCCTACTTCAGAGGGATAGAGAGTTTGTTTCCGTAAGACCCTCGGCTCAATAAAACGAAAAGAGACAATAGTTCCGTAGCAACAGAAACCAGATCTAGAACAAGTATACCAATATAAAAAACAGAAAAGGGTCAGATATATCCCTGTAATATCAGATATTGCTTAAAATTGTCCTCCGTTATACTGATCGATCAAAATTTTCCCCACCGTCTTACTATTAAACATATTTGCCCTCATTTGACGAAAGGGACACGTGGCAGACTTCTAAACATTTTTAATACCCAACCAATTGCCCATACTGGATAACCGATATCCACAACCCTATACTTGACCCATCCCAATCGTCCCTTTCTCTTACTTTATCTCCTTCCCAAGGGAATGCTTCCAAATTTTTACAAATTGAATCTTTTAGTTTCAGAGTGTAACCAAGAAATTTTTCTAACAATTCCTTGTTTATTGCCTTGATTTCCAAATCAGAAATCAAAAAAAAAAAAAAGGAAATTTCGAAAAGAAAAATTTGAGCTGTTGAATACTTGAAAATTCAAGAATTGGTTTGATTGTTTGGAGCTGCTCGATCACGCCCAACTCTAGTCCTAAAAAGGATAAGTGATCGCTGCAAATATAATCCGGTCTAAGAGTCCGGAGTCGAATCCCATAGAGAACTAAGGTTTAGGTACAACTGTTCACTATCACTAAGAAGACAAGTCGAACAATTCCTAAGTTATAAAGATTGCGATTGTTATTTTAAACTAATTAACTAGAAACTATTAAAAGCGGTAAAATTAGTAACTAAAGAGACTAAGAGTTGAAGACTAAATTAAGGAGTCTAGAGTTATGGTTTCCCCAATTGTCGAAATCCTTCCTGCTAAGTCTCCTACAATTTCGCCTAAGTATTCTCTACTGATCATGAGCACTCGACTATCGTAATTCTCTCTCGAGCAATAATAATAATATACTAGTCATATTCTCTCGAATTACGCTAGCTCGCACTTTTTTACCGCTCACTATGATCACGTCAAAGCTTCGTTATCTCTATTCCCTCTTTTAAACCCGCCGTATTGATCTGTCATATACCTTAGGAGTGACGTTATTCAACAACAACCTAAATATGCACTCTTTCTCAAGCAATACATAATAAATAGGCACGGTCAATCGATGGCCATTCAATCAACTAAAATAAGCACGTAGTTGAACAAGTAGATAAAATCAAAGGTTAAATTATATTAAAACATAACAAGAATTCATCCTCCAAGAGGTTCCACCAAAACTCTAATAAATTAGCTATTCATAAAAGTATGTGAAAACACAATACTCAAATTTATAACCAACAATAAAAATAGGAAGAAGAAGGGGAAAAACTCGTGGTTGAATCTTCCTCCTTGCTCCTAGCGTGTTCTTGCCTCCTTGGGTGTTGTCTTACCCTAAAGTAGTGTCTCTCCCTTCAAAAGGATATTTTTTGATGTATTTATATCAATTAGGGTTGATGTGGGGCGTCCTTGATTTCTCCAAATTCGAAAAGGACACGCTGAGTCGCGTCCCAGAGTTGGTGCAACGCGCGACTTCTGGCACGCACCCAGTTTTTTTCTTTTTTTCTTCTTTGTTCTTTCGCGTGCCAAGTCTAATGCCAACCTCCATACTTCGCTGTTTTTTGTTTATCTCATAGGCCATTTCGCGCCTACCTTCATGCAATGCACCAATTGTGGCACGCTCCCAGCTCTTGCATCTCACTCTTTTTGCATCAAATCATCAAATTCTTGCCAACTTTCATCCAAATTCATTCCTACACACAATAAACATGAAATGAGCAAATTATATGTTTATAAACATGTAATCTCCCGCAACTTTCATAAGAAATAATATACAAACATACTCAAAAATATGTATTTTTTATCATTTTATCACTACCCCACACTTAAACTCTTGCTCGTCCTCGAGCAACTTATAATTAAGCACATGGCAAATAACCCAATACCAAAACATACTCAAGTATCACGTCAATGCAATAGTTTATATCAACGCTTAGAACCCAAATAAGGGCTATTGACATCTTTCCTCATTTTTAGACCAATGCCAAGACTATTTAAAATATTTGTGTGACTCTTCTAACATCTTAGCCTCAAAAATTGACTCCACTTCATTCCTCTATATCACTCGCTTCTTGTACTAACTAAAGATATGAGTTCTTTACCAATCCGTCGTAAATCATGTGCCCTCGCCAACAAAGAAAAGAGAGTAATCAGTCCGCACACTCAAATATGAATTCAAGTATAATTTAAGGACTCACATATTGAAAGAATTCGCTCACTCTCACAAAGAAACTCATATGCCACCTAAGTTCGTACCATAGGCTTGCCCGTAGTGTAAAACTCGACTAATTTAAGATTGTAACATCTAGGATTAAGTAGGACTTTATAGGTTGTAATGTAGGCTAAGGGACGGGTATATATATATAGCGACTAACTCTCTTAAGCACTTTAATACACCACGCTTTCAAGCACATTCTTGTCATGACCAATTCAATATTTTGCCATGAAACCATACACAATTAAGCCCTTTTTAATTAAGCACATGAGAATATAGATACTCACTAGCCCAGATAAAGATATGGGAGGTGTCATTCATTTTTCATTTCTTTTTTTTATTTTTTTTTCATACTCTCCTTAATTTAGTAATTTCGGCTAGTAAGGCTTTTACCCATAAGTGCACCTTGTCGGACTTTCTATGGTTCCACTCAAAAGCTACACAATCTCTTTCTTTACTCTTTCAACGACTTAAGTGCTTTCGGAGGTAAAGGGTAAAAAAGATACGATTTAGAACAAAATAGGGGTTGGCTCGAATGTTGGTGCCAAAGAAAAAGGTCTACGGGCTCAAAAGGGCTGACTACAGATAATGTTATCAATGGTAAGCAAATAGGCTCAAAGGTCAATCAAAGAAACGCCTATATCATTTCCTAAACTCACAAGACTTAATCATTTCGCTTCGACTCACACACTTGGCAATTCTAGACTAACAAGGGATGACACAGAGTACAACAAAAATATCACCTCACACAATGCACATGATTCACTCAGGACGGCTCAGACCCAACTCTCAAGTTAAAGGAACTAGCACAGTCATCATATAGTCCAAATGCTAGGAAGTAACAACAGGAGTCAATAAAAGAGCCCAAGCGTCAAAATAAAGTCACATATATTCTCAAGGCATATAGTCACAAGAATCAAGAAGAAAGTACTCAACACAAATGCTCCACCTTTAAGCCCCGATATAAACCATGTCAATAACATAGACACTCAAGTTCTTCCTATTCCATTATCAGTTAAGAAAAGAAATAAAAAATCTTTTTGTATTTTTCTTTAGACTTTAAACCCTCAAAAAAACTGTCTAGGACGTCCATCGTCGGGAAAAGTCCAAAACTTTTTTAAAAATTTTACCTACAAAAAAAAAATTACTACCAGGTTCAAAGAGTAATCTCTTGGAAAAGAACCGTGGCCATAAGAAAATCAAGAGGGATTATTTCTACCTAATTATTTTTTTTTATTATTTTCAACACACATAAAATAATACAACTAAAATAGCATAGGAAATTACACAAACAGTCTCTTCACCCCACACTTAAAATTGTGCATTGTCCCCAATGCACACCAAAAAATACAAGACGGTAAAAGAAACTCCCTGGTAGGCCAAAGGCCGAAGCATTAGTAGCTCATGGGGTACTCAGACTTCTCCCATACTTGGTTCTTTGTGAGAGCACCCCACACTTTGTTCTAACCATCTCGCTTGATTTTGCTTCCTTCCAATGACTTTGCTTCCTGTGCTCCTAGAAAATCATAAACAACACTACAAAAATGATACAATAAAAAATTAAACTAAAAAAAAAAATACAAATAAAAGAAAGCAATAAAGAGGGGTTGCCTCACAACAAGCGCCTGATTTAACATCGCGGCACGACGCGAATCGCTTTTTGTCTCCACCTCGAGCTTATGAATTGAACCCCAAGTTTTGCTTCAAGCTTATAATTATGCACTTGGGGAGGTACAAATTCTTGCGAGCCAAAAATTAGATAAAGTCTTATACACTTTTTGGCTCTCGAACGAGGAGTGTCACCTTGCCTAGACGACCTTGAAAATTTTATAAGGCTCGTCTACCTCATCCTTGGACTCTTTTTATACTCGTAAGGATCCATTCCCCTTTCACCATCCGAACATAATGTAGAGAAGTGTTTGGAATGAGGTCCAACGCGCTCAAATACATGAATTTCAATAGTTTTGACCTCTTCAACACCAATCACACCAGAGTCAACTAAATTTATATCCTCAACGTCCCTAGTTGACTCTAGTGTTACTTCTTCAACATCGGCATCCTCAAATTCTAGTTGGTTAGATTGTTGGTGTTCAACTCCGACCTCCTCCATTAGAACCTCAATTTTGGTATCTAATTCATACTCTTCTTGGCTACTATTCACAATATTGGCTTGTTGAGCATTAAAGCTTCAATTAGTTGACTCACTTGTGCCTCCAGGTTGCGAATAGTAGCATCTTGCCTTTGTATGTGCAGTTGTTTCTCATTATTTTGTTCCACAAGGCACCTTAGCATATCCTTGATCTCTTTCGTGTCATCATCCCTGGGTTATTTATTCCTATTAACTTCACAAGAAAAAGTAGAACCATCATAGTAAGGGGTTGGGGGATGATAAGAAATATAAGCACAACCATGAAAGTGACCTTCTTGACCACCACATATATTACATACATTCCACACATGAGATTGAGTTGGTGCACATAACTCGCTCTCGGAAATATTTTGATAATTTTACCATGGATGGTTTCCTCCACAATATGCATAAGGAGGATTGAAAGTAGAATTACCAACATCAAAACTCTCGTAATTCCAAGATGCCATATTTTTAAAATCAACGAGTAAAAAAAAATCAAATACAAGAAAACAAAAATAAAAGTTCAAACTTGAAACCTAGCAATATGTATAGCTACAGCTACACGTTAGTTCCCCGGCAACAGCGCCAAAATTTGATCACGCCCAACTCTAGTGCTAAAAAGGATAAGCGGTCGCTGCAAATATAATCCGGTCTAAGAGTCCGGAGTCGAATCCCACAAAGAACTAAGGTTTAGCTATAACTGTTCACTATCACTAAGAAGACAAGTCGAACCATTCCTAAGTTATAAAGATTGCGATTGTTATTTTAAACTAATTAACTAGAAACTATTAAATGTGGTAAAATTAGTAACTAAAGAGACTAAGAGTTGGAGACTAAATTAAGGAGGTCTAGAGTTATGGTTTTCCCAATTGTCGGAATCATCCCGCTAAGTCTCCTACAATTTCGCCTAAGTATTCTCTACTGATCATGGGCACTCGACTATTGTAATTCTCTCTCGAGCAACTACAATAATGTACTAGTCATATTCTCTCGAATTACACTAGCCCACACTTTTTCATCGCTCACTATGATCACGTCAAAGCTTCGTTATCTCTAATCCCGCTTTTAAACCCGCCATATTGATCTCTCATATACCTTGGGAGTGACGTTATTCAACAACAACCTAAATATGTTCTCTTTCTCAAGCAATACATAATAAATAGGCACGGTCAATCGATGGTCATTCAATCAATTGAAATAAGCACGTCGTTGAACAAGTAGATAAAACCAAAGGTTAAATAATATTAAAACATAACAAGAATTCATCCTCCAAGAGGTTCCACCAAAACTCTAGATAATAAATTAGTTATTCATAAAAGTATGTGAAAACACAATACTCAAATTCATAACCAACAATAAAAATAGGAAGAAGAAGGGGAAAAACTCGTGGTTGAATCTTCCTCCTTGCTCCTAGCGTGTTCTTGCCTCCTTGGGTGTTGCCTTACCCTAAAGTAGTGTCTATCCCTTCAAAAGGACGTTTTTTTATGTATTTATATCAATTAGGGTTGATGTGGGGCGTCCTTGATTTCTCCAAATTCGAAAAGGACACGCTGAGTCGCGTGCTAGAGTTGGTGCAACGCGCGACTTCTGGCACGCTCCCAGTTTTTTTCTTTATTTCTTCTTTGTTCTTTCGCGTGCCAGGTATAGTGCTAACCTCCATACTTCGCTATTTTTTGTTCATCTCCTAGGCCATTTCACGCCTACCTTCATGCAATGCACCAATTTGTGGCACGCTCCCAGGTATTGTATCTCTACTCTTTTTGCATCAAATCATCCAATTCTTGCCAACTTTCATCTAGTTTCATTCCTGCACAAAATAAACATGAAATGAGCAAATTATATATTTATAAATATGTAATCTCCCACAACTCACATAAGAAATAATATAAAAACATACTCAAAAACATGCATTTTTCATCATTTATCACTGCTCTAGAGTCAGAATTATGCTAGCAACCGATTTAAAGAACTGGGTAAAAATAATCGAACTCCAACTGCTGGGTTCTTAAGTTATCCAAGTTGGAACCAAAATTGTTAAGTGTTGAATTATTCTACTAAAGTAATTATCTGGGTCTATTTTATTGAGCTAAAATATTAGATTAACCATTGATTTTAGCCTGGTTAAAGAAGATTTGCAAGTAAAAAAGATGTGGGGTTCCTTGGTGATTGGATTTGAGGTTCAAAAAAAAATCTTCTCTTTCCGAGTCGAAAAATTCAAGCAACTAAGCGTGAAAAATCTTGTTAGTGCTTCTATGGTTAAAATTTCGAAATTGAAGGATTTGATAGTATTTTACAGTTGGTAGTTGAGAATTAATATGATTCTAATTTATGTTTGCCATTGAGAATTGAGGTTGCAAATATCACTACAAATTTGGTGTTCTTTGAACTTGAATTATCTATATTGAAATTATTTTAAACATTGTTTCTTGAGAATTGAATCGTGGTGTTTTATGTGCTTAAATCAAAGAGATTAACTACTACTCGTTAGAAGAATTTAGTGCTGAATTTAAGGACCACTATTATTGAACACTTCCATGTTTTGGAGGAAGGAGCTTTTCTTGTGAAGGAGATGAAATAAGTCTTGGGATGGGTCGGGTTTAGGCAGTGCTGTAAAGAGCGTGAAGCGAGGAAAAGCGTAAACCCCCATTTCACGAGAAGCGAGAAGCGAGAAGCGAAGCGCTTGCTTTTTTTAAATGAAGCGGAATTTAAAAAAAAATTAAAATAAATACTGCATAGACAACACATGTAATTGTAAGCAAATGTTCAATACTTCAATTAAAAAACTAAAGAGTAGCATCAATTAAAGTACAAAATGAGCATCCTATTCTTTTACAATATTGTCAAATTCTTGTATTTCGATCCACTATCATTATTATATTGCTCGTCATCTTCTTCAACTTCTTCTTCTTCATCAACTAGGGACAAAGTGGCTGCCTCTTTTCCCTTCCTCTGTGAACTTGAAGTTGAGGTACTCCCCCTCAAACCATAAATCCTCTTCCCAATTCCACGCGCCTCCGCAACATCACCCCAAGTTAAATCAGAAGTATCCTCAAATACTTCTTCATCTGCATGATCTTTTGGGACTCCAATTAGCCATTCATTAGCATCATCGATGTTGTCCAAACTAATTGGATCAATTACATTGCGAGCATTGTAACGACGCCTCAATGTTCTATTGTACTTAATGAAGACTAGATCATTGAGACGCTTCAAGGTTAGTTTGTTCCTCTTTTTGGTATGAATCTGCAAATAATAAGTAATTAGTAAGATTAGGACAATTGAGATATAATTTAATTATCTCAATATACTAAATCTTTCTTCTTAGTTCTTACATGCTCAAACACGCTCCAATTCCTTTCACACCCGGATGAGCTACATGTTAGACTTAGAACCTTAATGGCAAACTTTTGTAAATCTGGAGTGGAATGACCATATTGCTTCCACCATTCAACTGTAGAAGTAGAACAAATTTTCAAAACATAATATTGATACAGAAATAACTTATTAACTATAAAACGACATATAAGCACTCGCTCACCTGGTGACTTCGTGTTTCTTTGTCTAATCGCCATGTTTTTTCCAAAAAGTTGCTCAGCTTTCCTATAAATACTAAATTGCTCTGTTATTTTATCTTGCACAGATTCTTCAGGTATCAACTTCTCAATACATTCGTAGTATCCATTCCACAAAGGTTCATCTCCCAGAATCCTCTCTTCATTGTCATAAAACAGTTCCGGGTTCAAAACAAGTCCAGCTGCATGCAAAGGGCTATGAAGCTTACAATCCCACCTTTTATCTATGATCTCAAAGACTCCTTTGTATTTTCTTTGATCACTAAAAGAGGCTTGAATAGCCTCTTTTGCCCTATCAGTTGCTTCGTACAGGTAGCCCATTGGTGGCCTTTGCTCCCCATCCACCAAATGAAGCACTTTAACTAAAGGACCACCAATCTTCAATGCATGAACCACATTGTTCCAGAATGAAGGAGAAAGTATAATATTTGCAGATTCTCTCCCTCGAGCTTCCCTTCCATATGCACTGCTAGTGTACTCATCTGAAACAAACAACTTCTTCAAATTGCTTTTTTGCTCATACATCTTATGCAAAGTCAAGAAAGCAGTAGCAAATCTTGTCTTTGCAGGTTTCACCAAGCTTCTTTTTTTAGTGAATCTCTTTATCATGTTCAATAACAAAGGCCTCTGAACAATATAGGAATGCACTCTAATTGCCCGATTAAAGACTGTACTGAAGGGCCTTTCCTTGAAAATATCACCGAAGATCAAATTAATGGAATGTGCTGCACACAGAGTCCAATAGATATGCGGGTATCCAGCAGACATCAAATCACCAGCTTTAACATTTTCACTGGCGTTGTCCGTGACAACTTGAACAATATTTTCTGCTCTAATAGAGTCTATTGTACTATTGAACAAGGAGTACATTTTGGTTGAATCAGTCGAAGAGTCGCTTGCATCAACGGACTCAAGAAACAGGCTTCCCTTAGGAGAATTCACCGAGATATTGATGATCATTTCTCCATTTCCCGCCGTCCATTTATCCATCATAATGGAATAATCAAACTTGTTCCATTCTACTTTGTGCTCCTCCACGATTTTGTTCACCTCTGCCACATCTTTTTTTAGATATGGCCCTCTAGCTTTATAATAAGTTGGAGGCTTCATTCCTGGACCATATTGGCCTACGGCCTCAATAAAATCAGCAAAAGTGTCAGTATAATTAACACAATTAAAAGGAAGACCTGCATCATACATCCACCACGCAAACATTGTAACTTCACATCCCTCAAAATCGCTTTGGCATCAATTTGAGGATTACCACTTTTTCATCCCTTATCTCCAGATCTTTGCAGGAAGTAACAATCCATAGGACCTTTGGTATTGCCGGTAGATCCACAACTAGAAGATATAGGTGGAAGCATCCTTCCCCGCTTTTGTGATTTTGGTGGAAGCGACGAAGCATCGTCACCTTCTTTTGTTTCATCATCATCATGATTATAAAGTTCTTGTTCATGAATCATTTGAGTCTTTAACTCTTTCTTTTTTTGAAGGTATGCTTTCAATTGTTCCTTCACATGCCCCGAAACTTTAGTACAAGATGCGACATTTGGATCACCACCGATTAGATGCGCTTTTTGATGATAGATTCCCCCATTTGAAATCTTATCACAAAAAAGATATCTAATGGCCATCTTGTTGGTCTCGCTAACTCTTGAAGAGTAAGTCCAAGTCGGGTCTTTCCTATTGTATTGGGTGATACCCTTTTTTGCTTGAGCCCGACCGGGTTGGATCCGGTCCGGAGCAAGTCGGGGCCATCGAACCCGACCTGGATGCAAGGTAGAACGACGGCCACGTCTACAACCGAGGTCGAGTCATTTCGAGACCGTTACAGAGCTCGAAAGGAATCACCACCGGATGGAGAAACACACAAGGTCGGAAGCCGGGCTC